TATTGATCACCATTTTTATCGAATGCACGAAAAGCCAAATAAATTGAATAGTCATTGTGATCACCAGTAATAACCGGAATCAAAATATCACAAAATTGATCGAACGTAAGTTTTTCTCCGTTCATATCTAAATATATACATGAAGAAAGATAAAATATTGATGATTTAAATTTTGTTTTCTTTTACCCGTTGGTGTTACAATCTGTTTCATTTGATCGAATTGTTCTTTAGTCATTCCAAGTTTATATTGATGACCTTTATGTTTTCCTGTTAATGGTGTTCCATCGAAATCTTTGTCTCGTTCAAACCAATCATAAATAACTAAAACATAGAGTTTAAATATAGATTCAAAGATAATAAAAAAATTATTACAAAAAAATTGTCTAAGAAAAACAAAGGATAAATTCACCCTTAGATTAATTTCATATTCATAAAGACGGCAATTATTAATTTTTTGTATGTACATGAACGTGGTGTACTCTGTGAACGCATCATTATTAATTAATAGAATAAATTAGTATCTTTTCTTAAAAAATAGTGTCTAATTTTTAACAATAAGGTATCGAATTAAATATCCTTCATTATATTTCAGTACGGTTAGACAATTTCATATGATTTCTTGCTTCTTTGAAAAACAATCAATCATTCATCTGTACATAAGATAGGAAAAATATAATTAAACTGATTTTATTTAAATAAAAAATAATTTCGGAAAAATCAATAACTATTACCTCATAATTGTTGTTATGTACATTTTTTTCTTTATTTGCTAATGTCATAATTTTAACATTATTCTCAAATATACGTGATAATATTTTTGGATTATTTTTTTTTAATGTTTAGATCTAATAGGATAAGTAAAATACTAGCAGATGTCAACGTTTAATATATAAAATGGACTTTGATCTTTCCATAGCAAATGACTTTGATTAAAGTAATGATATTTTGATATAATAGTCCCTATAGTGATAACGTTGTTGTCTGATTAGATCAACATACTCTTTAATGTTGTATGCTATTTTATAGTCATAGGAATGTATCACACGTTAACAAAAACTCTATTGTGTTACCTTGGATCGTATAATCATAATCTCAATTATTTACATAAATGCCAACTAAATGTGCCAGAAATATTAAATCAAGGACTTATTTTCATTCACGTTCACTTTATAAGAGGAAATATATTCAAATTACGTCTATAAAGCATTATACTAGAGATTGGCAGATATAGGAACCCCGTCACAGCTGGAAAAAAAGTAACTGTCAAGCAGACAATACTATTTTTTGACATGAAAGAAAATTTTGCCGATTCCACATAACGGGGTAAAGAGAGCTTTCGTGCGATAATTCACGAGTAGAGCTATGCGAACAAAGTAGAAAATTAAGCGAACATTTGTTAGCGTAAGCTGTTCTGATTTCTCTTATTAATAATGAATAGACTCTATCATTTCGACGTAATCGCCGTTTTAATCAATATTTCAAATGTCTCTGTTCAGCCGGACAAGAACGATACATCATTGTTTCATACCAGTTGTGAGTCATGCTCAGTAAATAAGGTCTCAAAAAAACCGAATATACGACTAAAGTGAGCACAATGTACAATAGTTGAAACAGAAAATTCAATTCTTTCAGCATGAGATGATTTTTAATACAAACTAATAATAAGAATAATCATCGAAGGATAATTGTGTCTTGTGAATTAGATAGGTTAGTTTTCACTAACATACGAACTGGCTTTAATAAGTAGTAGACACAGTAATATGAATATGAAAGTAATCTTACCTTTAATAAGTTCTCCATTAACCTTTTTGGAATATTTTCCATATCGTCTAAGGACAACGTGATATTTAGAATATATATATGATCATACTCCTCCTGTATCATACCTAATGACATTATCACATATCGGTAAATGTATTAACTTTTCCATTGAATTATCTTCCATATTTGTCGATTAATTTGTCACAGATGATTGATTTAGAGCATCATATTTAAAAGTGTTAATTCATTACGTGTTTTCTTCGCATAAATACAGTTTTACTCTGCAGGTTCGATGTGTCTATCGCTATTGAGTAAGAGAGAATAAGCAGAAGAAAGACGAACTATGGCTTTTTCCTTATTATATGTCTGACTTTTCGTAAGCAGATCTATGTGTGTGGCGTCACAACTATAACAGAAGAAAAAAAGAAGAAAAAACAAAATTGGACAGAGAAAGGACGAGATGTTAGTTTAGTTTCATTTAGACAATCCAAGTATAGTTGAGAATTCTATATTTGTGCATTATCTCTATTGTCTCATCGTATTTGATGATATAAATAGAAATTGTGGATGTATTAAGGAAATTTACTCTCTGCATAATTAGACATTCTGCATCTGTCTGTGTACGCATATAGAGTAGTGTCACATTAAGAAAAATATATTTTTAGATTACTTTCATTACATTTGGGATAACGTCATAAATTGTGCATTTTTAGAAAGCATTATAGCTGTCAGTCATGCTAATTGAAACAATCACACTCTCAACTCTAACATAATAAATGCAAAAATGAATGTGAATAATTCTGCCTTTGTTTACCCCCAATATATCTAAGTAATAGCACATCATTACACTCTATGTACATATCAAAAGTTATAGAGTTATCTTTGTATATCATGAGACATGTTATGAAATTGAGTTTATACAGATTTATTCTATATTAAATATACAATTACACTGTAATAGTTAGGAGAATAATTTACAGAAAAGAAATATAAAAATTAAAATCGTAGTAGAACATGAACTGAGTTTCGGCTTTAAAACCGTCCCAAAAATCAGCCTAATTATTTACACCAACGTTTCTAATAGAATGTCATCATTTAACGAACTAATTCCCGTATCCGAATCACTTGAACTTCTAGATAGAATCCTTTTTGAGATATTTTGATATTGAAGCAGTTGCTCATTTATATTCTCATTGATCACACGTAAGCATTGTCTAAACAAAACAAAAAACATTCAAAATATGTCCTGCTCGGCACTCAGTATTTCATTTTTTTTATGAGATAGAACAGTAATTTGTTTGCAGAAACTGCTCATGTTTTCGATCGAGGTTTTGCAAAAAGAATGATGGAACAAATTAAGAATGATCAATAGTTCACAGGCGAAACTCCTCTTTCTAGACCGTTGCTTTGTGGTTTAGTTGTCATAATACCTTACCTTTCATTTTGACAACCTATTTTTTTTTCAGTTCTGGGTTTTCGATAATTTTCTTGTTGTTCTAAGACTCGACGTTCAAAATTTTGTTTTAATTTTTCATATTTCGCTTCAATGGACACTGCTTCATCATTGTTATTAGTCACTATTACATTTTTTGATGCATGTTTATTGTCGGGTATAAATAAAGTTTCGAGAAAATGTAATGGTGATGATTCATTACAATGTTGTAAATGTCTTCCTCTAATATCTTGTATTTGAATTTCATCTGAAAATCGGACACGTTTTTTTGTTGGCAATTTTTCGGATTTTTGCTTTTTTGGACTTTGTCGAAGTGTTCGACGTATGGCATATTTTGGATTAGAAGGCAGACAAGTAGTAGGAACATAACGATGTTTTATTTCAAATAGTAAACGTCGTCCACATTGACGTTTTTGTATAGATGCTACCACTTTATAAATTTTTGAATTTGGTAATATTGGATGAATGCCTCGATCCGTATGAACATAGAGGGTGTAATCATTTAATGTTGATTCATCAATATCACCATTTCTATCATCGAATGGTTTTAAATTGGATAGTAACGCATGTATAACATCTCTTGCACTTGTTGAATGATTTAAATTTGACAACCATTTCATACGATCATCGATACGAACAGGAATTTCACTGATGTACATTGAAGCTAAAACAAGAAAATAATATTTATTAATAGTAGACTTACAGGTAAAACATTCTATTAAAGAATCCTGACGATTAGTAACTAATAGATAATAAGCGACCGCTAAGTTAGTGTGTTTTTTTTATCTACACAAACAAAAGCTATTTATTCTGAACTATTCAGCATGTCTTATTCGACCTCATCCTTCTATAGTTGTGGCTAATATCATAGGTCTAAATATGATTTATATTAGAGGAGGAGAAAAAAAAATTTTCATCACCCGGACCTGTCAATGATCGAAGTGATATTATTGACGCTATATGATCTCTGTATAAATATATACATTTATTGCGTGAAAATACACACTTTTTGTATTATTAAGCTAAATTTCTTTAAATAAGATCATTTAGAGCATCAAAGATGGTCAACGTAGATAATATGAGAGATACAGGGATAAATAATTGAATAAAATGCGTTTTTCTAGCGTCTTTGACTTACCCTTCACGGATGTTTATCACAATGCTGATACTTATAGTGAAGGATTAATTTATCTTTACTATTTCTGAACGCTGATTTTATACATCTTCTTTTATTAACACATTACCTGGAAAAATAACTGTATTTCTCTAACAAATGATCTAAGTTAAGAGCTAACTGATGAGTCAACGAAATACATATTCTACACCATTGACCGTTAAAAATATTTGATAAACCTCAGTACAAATACTTAATCATTCTGAGCTCCTCAGAGATCATCCGAAACCTTTAATATGTCAAATTTCAGGAAAAAAATCTATATATTCATAAACACTGCTAATAGTTCAATTGTCGTCTAGATTTTCTACGTTACTTCACAAAAGCTTAGCTATGACAAATTACCTGCTCTGTACTCCGACATCATTCAGTTTAGTGAATAAGATGATAACTATTACTACTTTCTGTAAAGAGAAGAAGAAACTATCTCGTTCATTTAATACTTGTTTCACTTAATATCTTTAGTAATATGATCGATCCAGAAAAGAAAATTGGAAATACTGTGCAAATGAATAAATCACGTTAAATACACAAATGTAACAGCAGGCTTCGAGAAGAGGAAGCGATCTGAAGGACAATAATCGTTAGTGTAAGTACTCACATTCCATAATAAATTGATGTTTGAAGGTTAGAGTTTATCAGAGAAAAATATTTATGTAACTAGAAACGTTTGCCTGTTAATCTATATATATACGTTGTGATGAGAGTTGAGAAAAATTAATCAATATATTACAAAGTGGTTTAAATTCACCTTCTTAATTATATTGATTTGTACAACATAAAAATCACATCTCTTTTTATTGTATACCTACGTGTATCGATATAGACAAAATCTAGATTTTTTTTATTTGATTGAAATATGGAATGATTATGCTAATTTGATTGGAAAAAATGTATTCTATATACACACATAATTTGTATCTTTCGCTCTCTCTTTCTCTCTCTCTCTAAAGTGAAAAAATTAGACGATGCTTAATAAATTTTTTGTTTTTCGTTTTTTTCTCTACTGTCAATTCTGCTCCAATGATATTAAACTAAGAGATGAACCTGGTGCATCATCATACAGAAGAAGATGAAACACTACAATGTGTGGTTTTTAGCAACAACCAAATGAACTCATGACATCATCATATATTTATTGTAGCTATTTTGAGATGAAACATGGGAACGAAAACCATACAATCTGCTCTCCATAATTGATACGGTTAATCGTTTTCTTTGTAGAGTAGGTGTTAAACAAAATAGAGTTTCACAAAAAACATACCAGTTTCCGACATTCTGAAGCTGTGAGAATACAGACAGACCGTTCAGATGACTAGTCACTACTTTTTAACCGGTACTGAAAAGATTCTCTTTCGGTTCAATCCTTTGCTTGGCTGAGAAAAAGAAATATAAATGCGATTATTTTTACTAAGGATTGAGAAAATGTTTCATGTAAATGGTTGTAATCCTATACTCGCACAAATAGTCATATGAAGAGATCTGTTTCGATAACTTCTATAATCTAGCGATAGCTCTTAAGCTTGAAAATGCAATTATTCTAAGTGGATACTTATAAAGATCATTCTTCTCTAATTGATGCGATTAGAATGATTGAATCAGCCGAGCAGTGAGTTGGAATTGTTCAGATGTGCATATTTTCACTAATTCTGATCGATTCCAACTCAATTTTCGCCTGATTCTATAATTTAAATCCCATTAACAGATAGAGGGAACGAAACTGAGTCTGCCTGGTCCAGACTGGCAGAATGCAAATTAGTTTGAACCATTCAGCATAAATTAAAATCTAAGTTTGTTTCTTTGATGTTTGGATTACGGTGATACCTACCGTAAGAACTAACCTAATCATTCGATAAAAGATGACCTAGAACTCCATGAATGCGAAAATGTTCTGCTAACGAGTACGGTAGAAAACGCTTAGTTTGTCTTTCCATGTAAGGGATGCTTTGCTGGATCTTGTTGAAGCTAGATCATTCGAGAAGTATTCTATTCCCTCAAAAAGCTTGAAAACTAAGTTATAATATAATTATAATAAAATGTACTAAGACAATTAAATATATGTTCGGTATTGAAAAGGCAAAAGTTCATATCAAAAACGATTGCATTAGAAAGCCATTTACACATTCGCTCCTTACCATAAAACATGATAAACTTTAAAATTCTATCAAATGAAGAAACTCGTTTGAATGAACAATAAGACACACGCGTATATTGATGAACAACACAAGATCAAAGGAAAAGGTGTTCAAGTGACTTTTAGTTAAACTATAGGATAAAAACAGAACACTAGAGAGAAAAATACTAACTTGATGGGATGATATTTTTGCAATTGTATGTTATCAAAGATAAAAGTTTGATGAACCGACCGTGTCTCAATATTGTTAAAGTGAATATGATGCTCTATTATCAATAGAAAAATAAAAGAGAATTGATATCACACTGAAATGATTATCACTATTAGATCATTTAGTATGCTATTTAGCAAGATACACAATTGGTTTAAATCTAATAAGCTTTTTAAGTTAATGTTTATCATTAAACAACATTTGGAAATAGCTTTCGCTTTTTAATAGAGTCATATCGCTCGAGTTGTCCTTCTACTAGAAGAAGGTTTAGATTTTTTTGTAGAGGAGATGATACTAAACTAGACGTCTACAAAATCTGATTTTGATTTTTTTATTAAAGACTCGAGTGTTTAGTTTAATTTTTTCACTAATTTCTCAACATAGTCACTTGTTTTTAAAAGTGTATTGTGTACGGTATAGAAATGTCATAATGACTGACACCAACATCTTGAAGAATAGAAAAGAAAAGTGTGTGCGTGACATCGACTTTAATTTTGTCCACACTATGTATTCATATGCATAATAACGTAAAATGTTTACTAAGAACGATACTCTCCAATTTCAATAATGAAAATTCAAGTGCTAAATGATTTGGAACAAACGAAATTTATCAACCTCATTTCCTTATGTGCATAATTTATTAAAAGAAAGTGAGGAAGAAAGTATTTTTTTCTAAAACTATGGTTTATTATTTTGTGAAAAATGAATAGAACAAAAAATGCTCCGTAGAAGATTGCATAATGAATAGGGAGAAATCGATGATTTTACATGATATCTCTAAGGTGGGATCTTACATGATCTATCAATGTATTAGATTTGTTTGTATTTTGTATCATTCACCGTGTCAACGATGAGAGATGAACCAAAATTGAGAAGACAGAAAGACATAATCTAATAAACACGAATTTTGTACTTTGGGAATATTGTTTTTCGTGATTTTTGTGTTAATTTTCATAGTGTTTCGATAAAATATGGCCAGGATACGCTTATAATGAGTAAATATTATTTGTGTGACATTTCTCATATCAGAAAGTGTCATAAGACACAATAGTAAATCGGATTTACTTCTTTAATTTTCATACCTTTGAAATTGTTTATTCCAGTTTATATCTATCCATCGTGTATATACGTGTCGTTTGATTACAATATAAAAACATGAACATTACGGAAAGATAAACTTATTTAACACATAAAAATGCCGGAAAATGAAAAATTCAGCTTTTGCTGTATAATGTCAAAGGTAAAACAATCTTTTATTGTTGATTAATTGTTAATGATTCTCTTCTCTGAGAGCGAAACGTTTTTCCGGGAAGGAGACCATTTTGTTTTATTGGCGAACGTTTTGGCGATGTACTTTCTGTTTCGACAATATTCACTGGTGACAAATTCGCTTGTTGAAATTTCATTTTCATATCTCTGGTTACTTGGTTCATTGATTTTGGTCTTAGATCGTTGGGTCTATGTGATTTTTGGCCAAACGAATAAGTAACTTTTGATGATTTTAGTCGACCACCGCTGATAATTTGATTAGCATTGATGATTTCTGACGTTGTTATACGACAATTACAAACGACACATCCTTGTTTACATCTTACCGGACATGGTTGATCTTTTTTCGTTTGATTAGAAATTGATGAAAGAAGGCGTTTGTACAAATGATATTCTTGACCTGGTGCACAATTTCCTAAACAGTTTATTCGTTTGCATTCATTACAACGTAATTCACGTTTGAGTTCTGATATTTCTTTGCTTTCTTTTGTATTACTTGCTGAATTAGATGTAGAAAAACTTGAATTTAATAGTACATTATTGTTATTGTTATTTGGAAATGATCCTCCATCAGCGGCAGCGGACGTTTTTAACATTCGATTGTATAATGTTAACGTTTGTCGACGTCTTTGTTCCCATTTGATTGTCGTCGATTGTAGTCTTGACATTTTTAAACAACGTTCGAAGGCCGCTTTTGAATGTGTTCCATTTTCCAAACGTACTTTAACATTACGATAAAATTCATTTAAATTAAATTCTGAAGTTGTATTCAATTGTGTTTGAATAGCAACATCATACTCATCGGAAAATGGCGTTTTAAATTCATAGAGTAATTCGCATGGTACTGTTGGCATATCAAATGAAAATTGATCAATTTCTCTGTCACGTTCATCAAGTTGTTTTTGTTCCAATTCAACAATTTGTGCTTCAGTAACAGTGAGTGGTGGTTCTTGTTCACGTATCGATCTGTCTGATTTTCTTATATCACTTGTTGTTCTTGTCATTGCTATGATACGTCCGTCTTTATTTCGTTGCCAAGTTCCATGGTTTATGTCTTGGATATCTAGTTTGTCGGTTTTCTTCTGAAAAGAAAGAATAATAAACATGGCATGTGCATAATCATAGATTCTAACTTTGACAAAAAACTCAAACAAAAGGTTTCTAAGTATGATAGAATTACAAAAATTTATCAGTAGATTCTCTCATTCTCCAATATAAATGTAACTATCACATCATCGGTCTCGTTGAAAGCATCATGCATGTAGATACAAGACAATAAATGTATAATATCCTACATTTGTATCCGCTTTCAACGTTGATTTTGGAATGCTGTTCTCATTACTATTATCCACCGATTTCTGAATTTGTTTTAGTTTACTCTGTCTATTACGATGTAGAATTGGTAAATCATCTCCATCTTCATCATCGTCATAGATTTTCGATGTTTCTAATTCTTCAAATGTTTGGGATATACGAATGTTAGTGGGTAAATTTTCTTTATCATTTCCTAAGTCATTAAGACTGTCATTATGACTACTTGTATTCATCATTAAATCACTACCATTACATAATTGTTGAACAAAATTATTTTCAGATTTAAATACGGCCGATTTTAAACCGACTGTCAAATTTAAAAATGATTCATTTCGCAAATTATCAAAATTATTTGATGTGTCAATAAGACGTGGTGGACGTAATGGTGCTTTTGATATCATCTCAGCAAACGTTTTCAATGGTGATACAGATGTATCAACAACAACAGCTTTCGATGGTGTACGACGACGTTCGATAATTACGGGCGCTGTTGTTGGACGTTGTTCGACGAGATGTAAGAGAGAATTACGGGCTTCAGGTGCAGATGTTGGAGGTCTTTGACTAAATGCAAAGTACAAAAGTGTTACATGTATTTTATTGCCGTTATACTCTAGAAAAAAGATAAACTAACTACTGTGTGAAATTCTTATTTTGAAAACAATATTTAGATAATTATCTTTCGAATGTTTCAGAGAGTTTACTAATAGTTTCAAACTGTTTTTAAATTAAGAATTGTCTGTTTTACCGTTTTCCGTGTCGACTCGGATTTTGAGGTGTCAAAATAGGATGCCATCGTTTGGAAAACACATCACCTGATTCAGTTTGCGTTTGTTGAACATATGAATCTTCTCGTGTTAAGCCTTTAGCTAACTAGAAATTGAAAAAAACAAAATTAGTTATATTTTGAGTTTTTATTCACTGTTAGATTACTGTAGAGAACAGAGACTGCAACGAAATTAACTAAATATATTTTTATTCCCAATGACCAACTGAAAAACTTGCTAGCATTCAAACATGAATTAGACAGTTCAGTGTTTACATTTCAATCTTATACTCTTACATTTGAAAGGAAAAAAGTTGTTGTATGTAAAAATTTCTGTCCATTATTCTTGTTTAGTTGCTAACACTTTATTATTTTCAGAAAACTTACAGCTGTCATATATTCTTTGTTTTCTTTCGTGATACGTGAATGTTGTGGACTCCAACTTGTTGATCTCTAAGTAAAATATAGATAAAACTATAGAATTACAACTCTGAGCATTATTTTCTTGTTTTAATCACGTGAACTATATATATATATATATATATATATCATGTTACTAATGCCAACTTACTTTGCAAAATATTCCTGTGTCTCCAGGATAATATGACCAAAAAGAAGGGTCCACGATTGGTTTAACTCGTGTGCCTTGCACTTCAAGTGAATCCTGTGGTAATGTGCCGATAGCAAAGAGATCGGAATGAAGTCCGTGAGTCACATAATAATGATTACGATTTGTGTTACCGTCAATCATATCAAATGGAATAGGCATATTGTCATATTATTATAGAAAGCTAGTTCTAAGCTAAACAAAATATTTCATTGAGTGGAAAGAACATTTTTCTACCTATTTTACACCTGTGTCTCACTTTCTCTTACTCTCCATATGCGTGAACACTTGAAAAACAGTTTTCATCTTCTCTAGTGATTCGATTGCACGATCTATTATTGTTAAAAGAACATCTGTTTTGATTAAATAAACAAAGAATTGGAAAAAAATTGTAACTATCGTTTAGTTGACTTTTTCAAATAAAGCACTCTATCGAAACTCGTAATAGAATTTTTAAAGCACTGCAATATTTGAAATATAATACATCTTTTCTGTTGTGTACGGGAAAAGAATCAAATAAAAAAAGTGACTTTATGTCTAATTATTTCTCTGTTTATGGTTTTTCATCTAAATGCAAAAAAGACAAAAACACTTAAGAATGAAGAAAATGTAGAAAATAAAAAATATGAAATGGTTGTTGTTATACCCATAAAGATGTTTGGACAAAAATATGTGGTTTTTACGGGACAATAAAATGTATTTTATTAAGCTAATAAAGACAAAGGCATATATAGAGAAACTACTGCAAAAAATCACCTATCTATGATTATCAGTCTGAGTAGCGGAGCTGAAGAGTAACTTTATGTCTAATTATTTCTCTGTTTATGGTTTTTCATCTAAATACAAAAACAGGTGAAAGCACTTCTGGAAAATATCAAAACTAAAGTTGTATAATTCTGATAAACTATTTCGTGAAACATGTAACAAATACATTAACGGATTTGAGAATAAATTAGCTCACTTAATAAAGTTTAAGGCAATTAAGTATATACGACCTCAAAATAAACATGTCAGATCTATTTTTAACCTTTTTCTTTATTTACAATCTTAAAAACTACTATGCTCTAAAGAAGTAGGACCTCATGAATCTCAAGAATCATGATAGAGAGATACTTTAGATTTTATGTGAATGTAACTCTGCTCATATGCTAATAATCTGACAAGTTTAAGCGTATACGGCTGAATGTGGTTCGAGAGATGTAAGAATTTTATATCTGATATTAAAATAAAATTCATAAAACAAGAGGTATAAAGACGTTATTTTTTTTACCAGAATGTAGTCGTGACTCCCTCTCGATCTGCGATATGAATTTAAAGTGTTGGCTTTTAATGCTTACCGAAACGCAGATATTTTAGTATGGATAATCGTTTTGGAAATTAGAGATCATTTTAAAAAAAACTTTACCACTTGGCCTAAGAATTCTGTTTTGACTATTTAATTTCACTAAATACTCTGCTGTATGTGTAGGTTATTTACCCAAAGTGTAAAGGTTAATTATAGTATAGTTCTGAAATCCCATCAAGAACGATGAGTATGGATGCTAATGTAACATAGGTAATAAAAAGATATTTTACCAAAGATATCACTAGCAGATATTCTCCTAGAGTTAAGCATTGAATTATCGGAGCATGGGAGAAAATTATTCAGGTATGACTACTCGTTCATCCACAAATATACAATTCCTGATGCTAGATCCAAATTCTCATCGTTTCAGTTTTCAAGTAATACACTTTTGTGATAGCCTGGAGATAGTCAACATAGCTGAAAAATGGGGACAGTGATACTTCTTTCAATGTGAAGCTAAAATGAAATTACCACTGGATGCTCATCATCAATCTTGGATTGTTAAATATAAATAGAAGTAAGTAGTGCTACTTCTTATGTACGGTCTCATCTCTTGTGCAGAAACTTTTGAAATGTTGTATGTTTTGTGTAGATATACCTAGATACCTAAACAATAGTTGTTAGCTTTTTGTTCTCATGTTCTTATTTGTAGAAAATTTTCAAACGATACACATATGAAGTCGAAATAGATTTGGCTGGAGATTTTTTGCAGACGAGTTGAAGAAAAATCTTTTTTGCAAGTTACTTATTAGCATAAGGACATGACTAATTCGAAAATATCTCTTGTCAGGTCTTT